TCCGGTCTGCTTGTGGTCTGCCAGAGGCCCACCTGACCTTATATCAGGTGTATGAGGGATGATCGCTCGACCATGAGCTATATTTTGGCGTAGCGAGTATAAATAAAATTAGATTGAATTCGGACACCTGTACTTAGGAATTATACCCTCTACTATCTTGCGTCCTCTTGAACTCCTGAACCCTGAACCTGAACCTCTAAACCCTGAACCTTGTACAACTCTCCGGTTGTACCCCCGTCCCCATACCTCACCTCCAGATTCCTACCCATCCCGATCAAGGTATGCCTTAGGCTACCTGACCCCCAGACCTTGTCCATTACATGTATGCATATTCGTTAGTAATATAGAAACAAGATAATATGTAGCAACAGGAAATGATAAGAATTTGGACCCCTTCTTGTAGTTATTAATTCCCCAGAAATTGGCATTTAAACCAAACTCCCATTCCACTGAAATCATAGCACTAGATATCAAAAGATTTGCCACTTCCTCAGTATGTAAGAGAGAAATACCAGGCCCAGAAGATCGATAGAAACCCATGATACCAAAGGAAGGCCAATATGCTAAATCACCATAGAGATAGTATCTCTGCTCTCCAATGCCACAAGGAAGAAGGTTGTGCAGTATTCCCTCAATTCCCAAGTCATTCCACATCATCCAGTCACCACTCAGTCCCGTATAAGGACCATGCAAGCTTGCCATAATCCTATTAGGAGTCATGATTGACTGGAACTGAAAACTATGGGATTTCTTGTGACCACTATAATAAGTAGCCTGGTTTTCTCTGGGCCAATAAAATGAGTACATTGTGCCATCGATCCATCCCCACACACCCCTTCCTCCTACTACCTTCTCAACTGAATCAGTGTATTCGGAGATTTCACTAAAAGTTAGATGCCAAGTATTCCAAAAAAGTAACTGACTAAATTGGTGGCAAAGATACATTAATATATCATTAAACACTAATGATATATAGCTTTGGGAATGCCCAAAAATCTTGATTTCATCCTTCAATCATGTACCTGAGGCTGATAGTCGATGGAGAAGGATACATATTACAAGCTCAGCAGTTGGTTGAAGATGGTTATGCCATGGTATGTTTTCTATTCCTAGAATTGGAATTAACATACGGATTTCCTGCCTACTGAAGCTACTCCTCTATAAGCTTTAATCTTTTATTGATAATTAACAATACTAAGTAAACACTATACCGAAGATACCCAATGAAGTCCTGATTATCATGGAAAAAATGATGCCCTGAATTATCCAGTGACCAATTTGGTTGCCGGATAGCTTATAGCTGGCTGTATATGGTTATCTTTCTCCTTCTCCACTTCCTCCAACAACTGTTTAAGTCGTCTGTATCTTCCAGTCATAAAATAATAACTACCAGATGCTGAGAGGACCACTGCAGCTCGCTTTTTGAGTAACTTATCGTACATTGCAGGCTCGGAGTAAGGACTGAGGGTTCAGTAGTAGGTGGTATGAAGAAGCAATATGACAGGGCTCGTTGGACCATTGAGTGTCAAACTTGAAAGGTATAGTGCAGCTTGTTTTCTCACTTGCCATAATTACGTAACTAAGAATAAACCTGATTTAGCACAGATTGGCTAAACCTACACAATCTGTAATCATATTTTCTGCGAAACTAAGGGCGTGTTTGGCCTGTCATGATTCTGATTTGAAAACGTGATTTGACTTCAAATCATGATTTCAAATCAGGTAGTGTTTGGCGTGCCCACATTGTAATCTGATTTCAAATCTGATTCTGATTTGAGATTTGTGTGCTTGATTTGGGGTTTTGTTGCATGATAATTCTTTCACTAATAGGTTAGGGTACATTGATAGATTACAACAATCAACCAGAGAGGGTTATTTTTTTTCCACACAAATATTATGAGAGCATTTAATACAAAGCTACTATTATAGCTGTTGCTGCTAATGATATCATCTTCAATAATCCAAACTGTGTCAGAACATCTTCGGATTGTTCTTCTATTTAGATGTTTCTCTATATAATAACATTTGATTAGCATATCTTAGAGTTTAAAATAATCAAATCATTGTGCTACTACAAGGGGAGCATAATATTTTTCACATACTAATACTGCATTTGCCGTAATCTCTTCTTGTAATCTGAGTGGTTTGCAGTGCTTGAAGATGGACACAGATTGCTACAGATTACTTTTATTGAATCTATAAAAGTTTGGATTAAAGAGATCAATTTACAAATATATATAATAAATAAGTTATACATATTTAATAGAATTTGTTATTAGATTTATTAACAATATATTATTACATATTTTATAAGTCAAATGTCTCTTGCTAAATGCATTCTTAAACTGAGTAGTTATAGTTGTTATAAAGATTGAAACCTAATTGAAATCAAATCAGAAGGTGTTTGGTACATCCTGATCTCAAATCTTGATTTTGAATAAATCTGATTTAGGTTTTAAAAATCTGATTTCAAATTGCCAAGACCTGATCTTAAATCAGAATCATGGACGGGCCAAACACCCCCTAACTCTCAGATTTAGCACGGAACGGTGATAACACGGTCAGCTAAACCCCCCTAATACATGGAATTTAAGAAACTTAACAATCGTCGGGAGTTTGATGGGCTGTTGATGTGAGTGGCAACCCCTAGTGACATCGTTAATAACTCCCACCTAGGTCTACCTGCGCAAACTCTCTATTGCCTACGGTCAAGGACAGTAGGGAGCCAAGCCGTGCCGGGCCTCGCTGAAGGTGTCGCCTAGCTGAGCCCTCACACAGTCTAATTAGTCTAAGCCCCACTACCGATGTGGAAGTGTCTCGGTTGACTTTCGGATTTTGGATGGTGTGATTGACCAAGCTGACACCTGTACAATTGTAATGACTGTACAATGTAATATTCAATCAGATAAGAGTGTAGAATTATGCTGATAAAGTTGACAGTAAAACACAGTGAGAAAGCAAGAGAAAAGAGTGGGGAAAACAACACCCAGAAACAACAGTAAAGAAGGTGGTGGAGTTGGTTGTACAGGATGGGTCCCTGCTGTGTCATTCCTCTGCTTTCTCTTAGGAAGGCAAGGCCATGCCTCCAGGTGACAAACATCCACCTGCTAAGCCTCATTCCAAACAGAAAATTCTATGGACAAAAACCCAGAAAACATGACCTGAAAACCCCTAAAACCTTTCTCGCACCACACCGGTACGGCTGTGATACACGAGCACAGTAGACTACGATACCTTTGATCCTTTCTGTCTGCCTCTCAGTCCTTTGTTGAAAACCACCAGCGATCACTCTGCAATAAGAGATATTTCCTTTGTACCGTTTACTATCTTGTTGATTATTTCTTACTAGCTTCCTTTGTCACTTATTTGGAAATCAGCGCAGAGGACCTGGCATCCCCGGTTTATATACTACTGTATATAGGAGGATTCGGATATATAGTTGGCAATGATCCGCGAGCCAAGCGGAGAAGAAATGTGAATACCAGAGGAACGGGAACAGGAATTCAGCCGTTGTTTTAGTTTTTCAGGACCGATTACCGAGATCACACATGTTCTTGTTATTTCCCTTACTTCCCGGGTGGCAGGAACACTATGATGGGAATATTGTTGTATTTTCAATAAAAACCCTCTACTTCGTCATAGATAAGAGAAGCAAGAACGATACCATTCTCAGAATTTCAAGGTATTTATCCTTTTTGTTTTTTCTTTTTCATTCTCCCCTCATCTGTCTTTATTTCCGGCAATCGACACCTCATAAGAATATCTATGAGACCGAGGTAGTCTTCTTTAATACAAGGCAGATACGAAGTGGATTCATGCGGCAGGTGAGCTTCCCCAATTGTCGCGGAGGGCGAGGGGTGCCATGTATGAAATCCGGGGAGGTATCTACCGGTATTGGAGTGGGCCAATCTCACAATTGATACAAGTAATTGCTAGCGATGCCTTACCCCATTAGCATGCTCGGCACCTATATCGGTGGCAATGGCAAAGTATCCAGATCTGATTTCACTACAAATACCCCCGGCACGAGTACTCCACCATCCCGAGTACCTTTTTCCCGTAAACGCAGAACTGACCCTATGAAATCTTTTTGATCTCGCTTCCATTCTCAGGTTTGATCAGGTACAGGCACTCCATTGGGGGATGACTTATACTTACCTTTCTGGGATAGAGACTGGTGGTCCTTTTCGTAACCTCGCCAATCTAGTCTGAACGGCACGCGGCGTTCGGTTGAGGGTCGCCGCAATCTGGGGGGTGCTTGTTCGCCGCGCCAGCCCCCCACGCAGTCGTAGGTCATCACTGGCTGTCCATCTACGCCCCGGTACTAGTGCCGTACCAGGGAGCTCGAACCGGACCCTCTTGGCGCCGCGGCACGATACTGCTGCTGCCGGTAGGCGTCTGGCCCGCACGACGAGGCGTGTCATTCGGCGGCCCCAGGGATCTGGGTAAGGGTGGAGAATTTATCTCGGTGTCAATCTCGGTGTCTGTTTCGGTGTCGTCCTGGGTAGCTTGGTTGGTTGGTGGAGGATCTATCTCGGTGTCTGTTTTAGTGCCGCCTTGGGGAGCTTGGTTGGTTGGTGGAGAATATATCTCGGTGTCAATCTCGGTGTCTGTTTCGGTGTCGTCCTGGGTAGCTTTGTTGGTTGGTGGAGAACCTATCTCGGCGTGGCTAGTTGGTGGTTGAGTGGAGCCAGGGACGTCTATCATCTCCGCATCCATCTCGGCACCCTGTCCTGTTCCTGTTCCTGTTCCTTCTAGGACATTGCGGCCAGTCATTGGTACTGAGATTGGTTTAGATCATGGCGGGGACGGCGCTATCCCACCCCTCCTTTCTTCTACGAGCTCGACGGCAACTCCCCGATCTAGACGCCGTTGCTTGAGGGATGTGATGTCATCTGGATACCAGCCACCCATTCCGGTGTGGCTCCGGGAGTCAGTCTGGCTGGAGTGGTTATTATAAAACCCGCAAGAACAAACCGAAGCCGCAACCTTTCCCTCCCACTGCAACGCACGCAAAGTGTATGATAGCAGCTTACGCGTCCACCTTCGACCAACTTTTTGACCCCTCGCCAACATCACCTTACACCTTCTCAAGTGACATGTCTTCTCCTACAACTCGAGCGACTCGCGCGGTGGCGGAAAAGGTTTTTCATGCCATCTGCGACGCAATTAAGTCTGGTAAGCCTGAAGTACTGGAGTTTGCCAATCTCGATTCTGCGGTCTCCGATTTAGTACTTGATAGCCTCTTCGACCGTATCAATGGTCACCTAGAAGAACATAGTTTTCAGTAATACCCCTTGTGATATGCTATGACCTTTTGCTAATTCACATTAGCGTCCACTTCTCAGCTCTAGACCACCATCTACTGGTAGTCATGCCCAGCCTCCTTCATGAGGCTGCAGGTGCATGGCTAATTGAGCAATACACTCGGTGGAGGGGAGCAAACCTCATTAGTAGTGAGGCTAGTAGAGCAATAATGAAGCCGGTATCACCACGTAAGTGCACCAGATTACAGTCGCCAATGGTAGTACTAAGTGACCAGGAATCGACAATTTCATCGGACAGTATGCCAATACTGTAAAAGAACCAGACTTCTCTTTTATTCCTGTTGGTCCCAATAGAGTGAAGAGAGATTTTCCCTCTATTGTCCTAGAGGCTGGTTGGTCAACTACAGCAGTTGGTTTAACTGAGGCCCGTCGTATCTGGCATGACGGGTCTGGGGGGCGTGTTATGGTGGTGATCTTGGTAAAGCTGTTTAGGCCAAGAGGTGCAAATGACCCGATTCGTGTGACTCTGGAAATCTCGCATACCACCCCTGGTGCTGCGCAGTGTTCCCAACCATCCTGGGCGCCCTACAGGGCCCTGGCGGGCTTGCAGTCCCGGGCGTCCCGGGCAGGGTGGGTAAGGACAGCAGGGCATGGCGTCCGTCTTTAATAAAGACCGCCGTCCGAAGGGTTGACGCCCGGGCCTGGGAGTCTTGATACAAATGGCATCTTCCGGCCGTCCTCACCGGGGACTGGCCGTCATTCGCAGAGCCCGACAGTCATTTGCAGGGCCCAGCCATCATTCATAGAGCCCGGCTGTCATCTGTAGGGCCCGACCGTCATTCGTAGGGCCCGGACGTCATCTGCAGGGCCCGGCTCTCATCTGCAGGGCCATTTGCAGGTGAGACACCTATAGGGCCCGGCCGACCGTCCGGGTAGTGGTTAGGACGGACCACAGGATAGGCGTCCGTCCAAGGCAGAGTTCCAGCAACCGGTGTCCGTCCCGTCCGAAGCCAAGGATGGACGGACTGGACGCTTGGGAACACTGGTGCTGCGTTCACTGTGTCCACGATGGTACTTTCTCTCTTTTTATTCTCTAGGCTAGGGTGCCTATCATTTGCTGATATTGAGAAGTCCGTGTTTCCAAATCCCGGTCCTGCACAACAAGATCCAACTCTTACAATCATGGAGTTATTCGGGGGACAATGTCCACCAAACCATAACCCTCAGACAGTACTTCCGCTTGAACTTGAGATCTTGCGCGAGAATCTAGAGACCGCCATTGTCGATTATGGACGCCTTCCCGCTTAACTTTTCAATCGAGATGGGATTCGGAGGTCAGATGTAATGGCAATAATATAGTTTTCAGAAGGCCAATTGTTAACTTCATGTTCGCTGGAAGCTTGTACAGAGGAGGGCAGTAAGCTGGGTGACAGGGATTTCGACCACGCCTAGTTTGCGGCCACCGCAATAGTACCAGGTATCACGAAGTGCGAGCTTTTGTATTGGGTCTACCAGAGCAATACAAGCGGAAATGGGCTTGACATATTTACAACTGCTACTCAAACATACATGACTCCTTCTTTGCTTTCTCAAGTACATAGGAGGATTGCTGGAATTCAGCTTCTCCTGCAGCCTTCTTTTTAAACTCTGCCTGCACCTTTGCTGCCTCATCCATCGCTTTCTTAATGGTTTCCATATTCGTTAAGGGCGTGTTTAGGTCAGCGACCACCTTCTTCTTTTTCTTTTTGGTCTACAGTTCCTCTAGCTACATGAGTAGATAGTCGTTGCTTGCTTCAATTAGTCCTTTCTCGGTAGTCAGCTTGCCAATCACCTTGTTCTCAATACCATATGATGCACCGATGCACCGGAACTTCAAACCAATAGTACCACCAGTAAACGTCATCATCAGTTTTCACGACAGTCTGGAGGAATGTAGGTGGGTTGACGGATACAAACAGAGGACGGAAAAACTGACCATTGCGAACATGTATTATTATCGTACTACGCGCTGGACCCTTCGCCGAGATGCTTGGTATAACCACTCCCATTACCACCACGCTCCATAACGCCTGAGCGATGTGTAGAGCCGGGCTGGCCTTTACAAGAATAGCTGTATTCACCATGATTCCCTGGTACAGTATTATTTCGTTCCCCGAATCCTTTGGCTCTGCGACCACCACAACGTCACAGTCCAAACCGCGCCTGCATCATCGCACTGTGCCATGATCAAACGTTTCCTTGAGCTGTTCGTACACCTGCGGGGTGTCATTGGCCTCCTGTATTAGCTCCACTACCGCTGTCGCTTGTGTTGATTCCTAGCTCTCCTTGTCGTGAGGCCCCGGAGACCCGAGCGTTGGAGTGGATCGCGGTGGCGACATTGGGCGAGGCGGAGGCAGACATAGGCCGTTAATGCTGGCTAAATCCGAAGCCTTTCTAGGGATAGCAAATACCAGGAATACTAGGGGGGAGGGTCAGTTGTGGTAGTTGTGTTTTAACGGGTAGGATCTAATAGGGATGGTCAGGTGCGCGATCAGACGAGAGGGAGGATGGAGGGTTGGCCCAACAACCTAATCAAAACATACCGGTGCAGGGCTTGGCATTTGTCGGGTGAGTACAATATATTAGACCACTATACTACCAAAGACGAATACATTGGTTTCACGCTATATCAGATGCATGCACCCCTCATCCTTCGCCCCAAATTTGGCTATAAGAATCCAAGTTTTACATTGACAAGAAGATGAAAGTGCAAGATTTTTCGGCAAAGATGTTTCAGCCGACAATTCATTCATTTTCCAAAATGCTGAAGGAAATCACCAAGACATGAAAACCCAGGTCGCGCGGCAATCATAATAAAAATCATAACCAAGCAGTAATGACTGAAATGGTTAAGGCTCTGTTTGGCAGGAACGGAACTGTTTGGGACTGTTCAATTTTCTCATACAAAACGACCATTTGACCTCCCGGATTGCGGAAGGGGGCGCTGCCGCCACAGGCCCTCGACGGTTATATTCACGGAAAGGAAAGATAGAATTGCAAGGAGGGAGGGGTTGGTGGGAACCCGAGGTTAGGAGGATTGATGGATTGAAAAGCGGAGCAAGGGCAGTGCCGGTTGTGGTCGGCGTTCCTAACTGTCCAACATGTAGGAGGTGTGGATGTGGGAGCGTGGTGGTGCGTGATGGTAGGAAGAAACAGGTAGGCAGGTAGGCAGGTTGGGACTAATCGCAGCAAGGAACCTTTCCGGGTGAGTACAATACAATGGTTGATAGGTATGTGCCTGAATTGTCTAGGATATTATAGCATGTCTAGACCTGTACTGGCAGAGGCCATGTCTTTGGATGTATATGAGTCTTATTCGTCTTCAACCCCCTTCATACTATATCACTCAAGTATAAATAAGGTCACTGTACTAGTAATCATCTTGCCATATTATGTTATCCGACGGTCGCCAGATACCACCTGGCCTGGATAGGGATATAGCGCAGTGTAGGACATGACGGCAGAAGCACTCTCACTCACGACTAACTAACGGTAAAGACAGGAGTATATATCGACATCGACAACAAACTGCAAACAACAAAAATATACCAATGAGTAGTTGCACCTCCATACGCCTGTCCACCGCCTATTATTGCCAGCCCCACCCCAATCCCGCAAAGAATGGAATCCTGCCCACGGCAACTACTATCTCGTATGCCGGAGCAACCCCCGGAACAGTTACTTTATGGCGGCCTTCCAGGCTTCCCTGCCTTCTGACCGGTCGGGAATGTATATACGTACTCGAGTACACCTAACCCTTCCCCTCTCTTGCATGGTGGCAGGTTTAGCAGCTACGTACCAGTAGGCTACTCGGGAAGGGATAAAGTCCTTACGCACAGGGGTGATTGGCAGCCAGCTCGAATACCGGTATCATACCACTATACGAGTACTGCCAAAGACTTGTTTATTAAGAGTCTAACAATATCGACTTCACTAAAATATGATCTCCCCTCTAGCACGAAGAAGGCATTGCAGAGTTGAGAAATTTGATATGAGAACTGCAACAGGCATGCCACAGATGCCAGGATTCACAGACAACAAAATTTTAGAGACAATTCATGCCATGAAGATCGGGTAACCGAATTCAATTAACGATATTTAAAACTACGGTATGGAAAAACCGTTCCCCTCCTTCCCCCATTCCCCATTCCTCTTTCCCCATTTCCTCCCCAATCTTTCCTATCTTCTCTCTTCCCCATCACCATCTCACATCTCCCCCATTCCCGTCAGGCTTCCCCGCTCTCCCCCTACCCCCTAAGCCACGGAAATCGCCAACCAGGCCTTTTTTTCCGGACCCTCCCCAGCCCCGCCCTTTTCGAACCCACCCCCCTCTCCCCCACCCGCGTTGTGAAAAAAGAGTAGCACATTTTCAAAGTCACTCTGCAGTTTCTTATCCCATTTTCTGGATATTCGGCATCGGTTGGCAATCATCGTAGCGCGCTTGTTGATCATGTCAACTATGATAATAGATTCTATTATTGTTAGTTCGTAGGCAAGATATAAACCATCGCAGTATACATACTCATGTAATATTCGGCACGTTTATACGGAACACAATAAAGTCCCTGGAAGGCGCGAGTGTTTCCAAGGTGACCAAGTTTCATCAACAACGTGTCGGTTTGGAAATCTCCATGATGGGCAACCTTACTTGCTTTTCGGATTGCTCGGTAACGCTTAGGAGATGCCTTGCTAACAGGTGTTATATAATTATGAAAAAAGCGCTTGCGGATCGATATTCCAACTTCTTGGATTGGTTTCATAGTAGCGGCCCACCGGACAATGCTAGATGGCTCTTTTTCCAAAGCCTCCAATTTTGCTGAATGCTTCTTTTGCAAAGCCTCCAATTTTTCCGAATGATCCTTTTTCCATGAGTCCAACCTGCCTGCTTGATCTTCTGAGACCTTCCGCAATCGTGTTATCTCAGTCAAAATCCCACCCCCTCTGCTGTTAACATAGGCAGTGTTCTCAACCGTCCGGGGTCCCCGTAGGGGCCGACGGAGGGACTGCCAAGAGCCTGGGACCGGACGGGACGGCAACATATAGTCCGTCCTCGTCCTTGAACTCCTAAGACGGCCGTCATGAGGAAGGACGATGAGCCCCACGATCTGAGGCAACTTCTGGTACGGGTCGGCGGGTGACTGCATAGGACCACCGGGGATCGCAGGGGACGGTGGGGGACGGTGGGGGACGGTGGGGAAGGGCTGGGGGTTTAAGGGATGGCAGGGGACGGTGGGTGACTGTGGGTGATGGCAGGGAACTGTCGGTGGATGGCCCTTTACTCTTATGTGTCGGGCAAGTTCAGGAAAAGACCGGACGGGACGACACAATGCAGTCCGTCCTGGTCCTTCATTCCTACCTGTCGGGCATGTTGAGAAAATGATCGGACGGACTGCCCCGTTGCGAACACTGATTACATAGGAGTAGCAGGAGCTATGTGAGCCAGTAATGTAAAGTGTTTTTTCAACCTTTTTCGTTGCCCTTTCAGTGCGTTGATCACCGACATCCTTTCACTGCCAGGATCGTTGCCACATCTCACTTGACAACCAATGAGAGCTTCCAAGTGGTTACTGGCAGCAGGGGGTTGGTGGTGGTGTGCTTGTGCTTGGGCGGTGGTGGCGTAGTGAGTAGCCATTGCGGAGAAAAGATTTGAGCGCATGGCAGTAACCGGAAAAGGAAAACCTAATGCGATTAGCTTCCGGACAAGTTCTGGAATGGATTCTGCCACGGACCGGGATATCTGGTACGGACTCTCATTCTCTTCATATTTGCCACAGTACGAAAGGAGAAATTGAAAAAAAGTGATAAGTAGAGGAGCGATGGGTTGAGGCGTGTCGTTATTTAGGAGAGGAGTATTTTTTGTAATTGAGAGAGAGAACGGTGGGGTGACAGAGGGGAGTGCGCGTGTCTCTATACCATGAAGCATGGACCCACTTTGGACCACTTCGTATCCCACGCAGTATGATCTCTGGTCTGGTATATTCACAGGAAGGTATCACAATTACAATATTAGACAAAGTCAGAACAAGTCTACCCGGGTGAAAGCTTTCCTCACCCGGTATTAAACTCAGAAGCCATCCCCTTCTCAATTTGCATGCTAAAAGCAATCTTCCGCATCTCCCTTACTGCTTCTAGGCCAGCATTGCTCGGTGAATTTTCTACATCTAAGCTTATTTTCACACCCGCTTTGACGAAGCTGACCGTGGCCGCCGAACCCGCATAGTTCCCTCCAGTTCCCACCACCAGTTGTGCCACCCCCAGGAACTCTAATATCCTCCGGGGTATCCCTGATCCCGAAACTCTACTCCAATGATCTGTAATGCGGTGCTTTATGATTGAACATACCATTCTCAGAGGCAACGCAGGTGGTATGTGCATGGATGTGGCCTCCCTAAGTTTCCTTTGCTAGGTGCATCACCACTTTATCCACTAACACCCACCTCGCGACTTCCAACTGCCATTCTGAGGCTTCATCCCCCCACTCTAGCCGCTTGTTTACCCTTTCACTTCCGATGCCCTTCCTGAACACCTCGTACATGTCTGCGTGTATGGGATTTCCACAATTCTTTAGCACTGAATCGATACAGCATTCATCTGGCCCCGGAAGTGGGACCATTATGGCCCACCCGGCCGATACGGTGGAGGTGATCATCACAGGAGAAAGCATGGCCAAATTAGATTGTTGGGTCGACGTTCGGTAAGTCTAGCCCCTGGGTAGAGACATTGGAGCAGAAGAGGAGAGGGGGGGAGGTTGTGTGCGCAAAGGAGTGGAGGGTGGAGGTTCAGATTGGCTGCGTGAGAGAGCCATGGAGTTTGTGGAGGAGGGCTGTGAGACCGAGGTGTGGGGCCTCAGCGATTGTGGGATTGCTCGGTGGAGGTTGTCTAGATGGCTTTCCAGAAGGATCTGGTTTGGTTTCCGGAGAGTGGGGTTTTGCAGAGTCTTATTCGAAGCCTTCCGAGCGTTTTGTGGGTTTTGGGGTGGGCTTTGGCAGTTGAGTATTGGAACCATTCTCCAGAAAACAAGGAAATACTAGAAAGTGAGAGTCCACCCAATCGAGTAGGAGAAAAAGACAATAATCTTCCGGCTTGTTGTAGTCGTATAAAAGCCATCTTGAGTATCGTATTCAACCCACTGACCTCAACTTTGCCCGAACAGCAACATAACTCTGCTTCTGCTATGCCGGAGCCTGGAACCCCTCTTCCACACTCCTGACAGCCCCCGCACGCATCGTCATATCTCTTTTCTGACTTGATGTATAGCGCCTCCTCCAAAGAGATATTCCCAAGTCGCTGTACACTGGGCTCCAAGGTCGCTGAACAAAGCATTGACACCCTCCTCCTCGGTAATCCCGCTTTGCTTTTCCACCACGCTGCTTTCTCCCTGTTCTTGGTAAACCCGCTCTTTTCCAGAATGCCCAGGCTACTACCAGTTGTCTCCTCAAACCCCAACTCTATAAGCCTGTCACCTTCATCACGCACAACCCACCTCACCCGACAGCTTCTAGGCTCTCTGTATTCTCCAGATGATCCAACAACCTCCAGGGCGTAGCAACAAGTATATTGATCACCATCCTCAACAGTGCCGATCCAGAAGACCGCTCTTACGGTTGATTAATGTGGATAGGACTGCTGATATTTGCCGGCAGAATTCGCGGGTCAGGACATGCAATACCCTGCACTTTTATATGGAACACAATAAAGGTCCTGGAAGGCACGAGTGTTTCCAAGGTGACCAAGTTTCATCAAAGTGTCGGTTTGGAAATCTCCATGATGGGCAACCTTACTTGCTTTTCGGATTGCCCGGTAACGCTTGGGAGATGGATTGCCAACAGATGTTATATAATTATGAGAAAAGCGCTTGCGGATCGATATTCCAACTTCTTGGATTGGTTTCATAGTAGCGGGCCCACTGGACAATGCTAGATAGCTCTTTTTCCAAAGCCTCCAATTTTGCTGAATGCTTCTTTTCAAAAGCCTCCGATTTTTCTGAATGGTCCTTTTTCAATGAGTCTAACCTGCCTGCTTAATCTTCTGAGACCTTCCGCAAACGTGTTATCTCAGTCAAAATCCCGCCCCCTCTGCGGTTGGCATAGGCGTAGTAGCTATGGCAGCCAGTAACGCAAGGGCAATAGGGCAGATGCCTGAATGTCCGATCCGCTTTGCCACACTTTTATCATCTTGCTGAACAGAAGGAGGGGGTACAGAGACGATCACGATGCGGTTTACTATTGGAAATAAATAAGTCAATGTTTTTCTCGATCCAGTCCCAGCTTGGATGACAGGGTCGCTGTCAGTGGATATTAGTTCAGAGATTGCAGATCGCTAGATGGTTGTGGGCGCTTTCAGCAATTGTTTTGTCTTAAGGTGATTTGCGAGTACAGGAGATAATCTCAGTGTTGGGAAAATAGTATATCCATTCACTAGCTGAGCGTTTAATGGCTCATTCCCCTCTCCTTCCTCCCCCTCGTCACCCGTGATAGCACTTGAAGCTGCGGGATTCCCGGTGCATAGGAAGGATACGAACTCCCCTGTCTGGACAACCTGCGGTGCGGGTGTCTGCTTGGGGGTTTCGTCACCGCGTCTGCGCTTTACTACTGTTTTTGCGGTTTCAGAAGGAGGGGTAGGGGTGATTCATGGAATATTGAGTTTGGCGGTTTTGATACTAGTAGCCCTCTTTTTTGCATGGTGCTTGACAGCATTCTTTGCTTTTAATCGGTCTTCCCATTGGCCGCCTTTGAATTTGGGCATTACGATTGTGAAGGCATTGGGGCTAATATATATATATCGAAGTTAACTATCATCGCATCATCGGCCATGTTGGGAAGTTTTTGGAAGCTCCAGTGTTATAGAGGAGAAGAGGCGATGTTGGGTGGAATAATTTTAGGGGGTGTTTGGCAAACGTGATTAAGATTTCAAATCATGATTTGAGATCATGTATGATAGCAGATATGTCATTTAAGGAGTGTGGAAACCATGAAGACCATATCGAACCAATTCCTGGTCTTCATTCAAGGCTACCTGTATCTTTCCTCTTAGGCATGAAAGTGTTTGGATTCACTATGGTTATGGACAATGGATGACCTACATGGATGATGCCACAGGATCGGGAGGGATCGGTTCAATTTATAAAGGGTTTCTTCTCCGAATTCAGAGCCATAGAGGGGAAACCCTGCTTGGGTTCTAGTGAAGGCACAAACTAGTAAAGACTTATTCTTGATCCAAGAGAACTCTGTTGTGAGCCACCCAAACTGGATAGGTATATAACTTAATATGCACCGGAAAACCAGTACTTAACATGACCTAATGACCTAACCAAGATGTTAGATGTGGTGCGGGGTGAAGGCAAGAAGTGACCATCACCGAGGTGAGGACAGAGGGGAAGCGAGAGGTGGGTCACAGTTGCACGGAGCAGATTGTTTGTTTTTATTATAAGGTGAAAGAAATGACCATTTCTGATTGTGTTGAGAGAAGGGAGTTATGGAGAAACACATGAGACCCCTCGGCCATCACAACCAGTACAGATGAAGAGATTCCTTCCATGCTAGCACTGCTTAAGCAGCCCTGAGCAATACATTCACAGCGGATCACTCAGTAATCCCAGGAGCATGCAGCACTGATGAAATACAAGTAACAAGTGATAACCGACCACTTGTACTTCGACGGTGGGAAAGATTCTGGCGGAGTCTTAGCTACCAACAACATAAGAATTCTATAAGCCTAAGTACATCCGAAACGTTTAAAGAGGATCTCTGTTCTACTACCCACCCGACTGTATTGATGATGGTCAAATGCGACAAACTTTGTTGCTAAGATTGCAGCTTTCGTGTCCATCATCAGAAATGTTGCTGCATTACGTGTTGCACAATTGTCACCTCCTATATTCTAAGAGGTATCCAGCAACATACGCCTCAGAGATTTCTCTGCTTCTTACCTACACCAGTTCTCAAGTCATTCCCACGATTGCGTTTACGACAATCACCAATACCAACAATGTCTCTTAATCGTTCTCTCCCACGCAATGTGCTCTTTTACGATGCTACCAATCCTGACGAGTCTCTTGGGGGGCTTGTCCAGAATGGGTCTATAACTGAGACAAACTTTCTCGACATCCTCGGGATCCTGCTTGTGGTTAACGGAAGTCCTCTCCGTGTTGAGGGGAGGGGATCAAACCATATAGTATCTAGAACGGATGTGCCTCTTCCAGCGGGGGTATACGATATTCATTGCGAGGGTATGTGCTATATTTCCCTCATTTGAAAGTCCCCGACATGTTTTAGCACCAAAATACGGGGGCAAAAATTGTGTGGCAAATTGTCTGTGGACCCGAGCATCGGTACCAAATTCAGTTTCACGTTCGGGTTCTTCATACTGGGATCTGTACTAGGCGGCCCAATTGCTAACTTTGCCAGCCTCTATCCAAGTCAGTGATGAGCCTTGGATATCCCGGATGATTTCCCATAATGTCACCGGTAGGGAAGATCGATTCCGCCATGAAATTCGCAATCGGGACAACAAATGTGTTCTTTCAGGACTTACAAATACTGAAATCCTTATCCAGGCCAATAACTGGAGTGGTTTCCAAGCTGCCCATATTTTTCCTCTCGAGCACGAAAGTTTATGGATTCGGTTTAATTATGGGCGATGGATCACAGACATGGACAATACTCCTGGATCCTCGAAGATCAACTCATGTCAAAATGGGTTTCTTCTTGACGCATCCATACACCTGAAATTTGATCAGTACCTTATCTCTGTGAACCCCGATGACAATTACAAAGTTGTTGTTTTTGACCCCGATATCCGTGGGTTGGACAGTTGAATTCTGGATCCAGTGTGTCGCAACCCGGCCGATCCCCACCATGTGTCCGACCAACTTCTCAGATGGCATTTCCGCCAATCGGTTCTTGCGAATATGAGAGGTGCAGGGGAGCCGATCCATGAATACAACTTCCTACCAGACACCGACATGGTGGGAAAGACCCACACCGGCCTGCACGTGCAAGGGGGATGTGATTTGCAGGTAGCTGCTAGCTTGAGCGAGGTTTCCTAAGAACCCCTTTGGGTCCTTAGAGATTTCGCGGCTTGTGTTTAGGGACACTAGCTGAGCGATTGTTAGTGGGGGGATTGCAATACAGATTTGGAAAATGAAAAGGCAGTGGGAAGTGGCATGTCAGCTCAACTTGGCACTGATAGATGGATGAATAAAAATATACCCACCAATGGGGGTTCGTTCTTATTTTCTTCAAACCTTTATATTAACAAAATGTCAGATGCAACAAGAAAGCGCTATTAAAGAGTTTGCGCATACACACCTGACTTAGATGGTGCTGATGTAAGTATCACGAATGATGAGGTTTGGCTACACAGTTGCTTGATCCCACCTGGCCGAGGTGTAAAAACCATGAAATTAGACCTGGGATTGAGCTGGCAAGTCATGTTGAGCTGGCAGGCACTCTCTTGAGAGTGCCCAGGTTGCGAGCCAGCGAGCAACCAGGGGTTGTGGCGCTTAGTCACAACCTTGGCACGAGTATTATAACAGTTCTAGTACCACTTTGGACTCCGCAAAACTCCATCTTACCACCCCTACTACATCCACCCTAAGGGGTCCGCAATATTCGCCTCGATCTCTTACTTACACCGGCTCTCAAGTCACTCCCTCCATTACCTTTACGACCATCACCAATACGAACGATGTCTCTAAATCGCTCTCTCCCACGTAATGTCTCTTTTTATGATGCTACCCAGCCCGCAGAGGCTCTTGGAAGGCTTGTCCAGAATGGGTCTATAACTGAGGCAAACTTTCTCGACATCCTCGGAATTTTACTTGTGGTTGGGGCAAGTCCTATGCTTGTTCAAGAAAGAATATCGAGCCATATTGTAGCTAGAATGGACGTTCCTCTTCAACCTGGGGCATATGATATTTATTGCGATGGTATGTCCTATATTACCCACATTTGGGAAGGGGCCCAGCTGCTAATTTCGTCAGCCTCTATCCAAGTCAGCGACGAGCCTTGGATACAACGGTTAGTTTCTCATGATATCTCTGGTACAGACGAGAGATTCCGCAATGGAATCCGCAACCGCGACCAGAAATGCGTTGTTTCAGGACTCATAAATCCTGAAATCCTTATCCAGGCCAATAATTGGATTGGTTTCCAAGCTGCCCATATCTTCCCTCTTGAGCATGAAAGCCTTTGGATCCAGTCCGGTTATGGATGATGGATCACAGACATAAACGATACTCAGTCCTCAAAGATTAACTCATGTCAAAATGGGCTTCTTCTTGACGCATCCATGCATCAGAAATTTGACCAGTACCTTGTCTCCGTGAACCCCGACGACAATTACAAAATTGTTGTGTTTGACCCCGATATCCGTGTGTTGGACGGTAGAATTCTAGATCCCATGTGTCGCAACCCGGCCGATCCCCACCGTGTGTCCGACCAACTTCTCAGATGGCATTTCCGCCAATCAGTTCTTGCAAATATGAGAGGAGAAGGGGAACCGATCTTCGAGCATGACTTCCCACCGGGGACTGATATGGTAGGGGAGATCCTTTCTGGTCCGTATGGGCAAGAAAGATTTGAGTTGGAGATAGCTGCTAGGTTGGGAGCGGCTTCCTAGAGGAACCATTTCGATCCGGAAGAGGCTTTACAGCTGTGGATTTACTGGCACTGGTCAAGTTATCATTAATTGTTTCGACGGCCTGGTAGGGTTGGAACAGAAATTTTGAATGTAAAAAACCATCAGGGTAGGAGCATATCAACGGAGTGAGCTAATAAAAATACAATCTAACAGGAGTTTTTTCTTCCTTTACTCCATTTCTTTACATGCATATTCAGGCTAGCTCACGTTAGGTGGCCAGGGTTGTTGCTGGATAGGCGGGTTAGTGACGGAAAAGGACTGTTCATAGTTTAGCTATCTTGCAGGCAGAGGTATGAGCGTGGGATCTTGGTGGAAAGAGAAACTTGACCCTCTACTACCACCTAGCACTTTTCCCCCCATAAAAGATGAACTTTCATCAAACAGGGGATGATCACTACGAAGATGAAAAACGAACCTAAAAATAGAAAATTCGAGGCGAAAGCAGAAAACCAGAAGATTCACCTCCTTAAAAACTAATGTATTCCGCCCTAGGCTAATGTTCAACACATGGTCAAGGATAACACATGTCGTTCAGATTACTCAATTGTTAAAGGAGTTTGTCCACTGCCCTGGCTTGGCACCTTTACCTCCCTGCCACGTTCCCGGTTGTGAAATCGACTACCGTACCCGAGTAGTATGCGGGCCGTGAACAAGTCCTCCCACTCCCCGATTGACCTCTGACCCTACGGATTTACGGGATGGATAACCAGCACCCCCCCCCTTACAATCAAGTATTCCCTGGGCGTGTATTCTAGCATTTAGAGTCCACCACCACCCAGGTTTACCTTCTTCCTCTAGACTACCTTTCCGCCCCCCGGTCCTATGGGTTCGTCTTTCTCCAGACCACAAACCAACCTCTCCTCCGCCATGGATTCGTCGGGCAGCAGGCGGGCCCCCAATTCAGCACCAGTCCCTACGGGAGCTAGTCCTGGACGTAACGACCGACAGCATAATCCTATCCTGGAGTTTCTAGAGTCTCCCACTAACCAAGCCCACACGATCTCACGAGATGGCGATGGCCGATGTCCTCTCGGGTCCAGTTGTGCGTTAGGCCATAAATGCTGGAACACCCATCCTGAAACAGAACAACCAGGGCAGGGTTTGGCTCCAGGCCAGAGAGGTGCATGGGGTCTCACTTTTCCTATATACGGTCCCGCGGTACCCCCGGCCGAAGGGCAACCGTGGGGAGACAGCCCTCATCCTACATATGGTACCGCGGTACCCCCGCACCAACCCCAATTATGGGGAGACACTAGATGTGCATCGGGCGTTTTCTCTCCTCCACAGTATCCCCCGTGACATTATGTTCTGCTCCGACTGCGGGTGGGGACACCGAGGGACAGTCATGGTGGGGTTGGAGCCAGGGAGGGGTCGTCTGCCCCCCTGGGACCAAAGCGGACGCGGCACCGACAGGGACGTCGGAACAGATACGGGAAGCGTAGGGTGGAGGAGGGAGCGGGGCGGGTGGACCTCGTTGAGCTGAAGGCGGAGTCAGATGATATACGGCGGAGGGATCTCATTGAGCTAAGGGCGGAGTTGGACGATACACCGCAGCAGGATCTCGTTGAGCTGAGGGCAGAGCTGGCAGTAATAACGAGTGAGTGTCAATGTTCACAAGCACTCGTTTAGAAATCGCATTTGACCGAAAAGCGCATTATTCTACCTTTTGAGGCGTTTTCTTTTTTATCACAGATTTATCGAACAATCTCGAACAGGCCAGACAACCACCGTACAGCCCGACCCATGCTATTGTATTTAATGCAAATCTCACCAGGCCCATGCCATGCAAAAAAGACAAAAAACAAAAGCAGGCTATTTTCTCGTACAATTGGATGGTTATACACAAACGCATAATGTCCCACTAAACACAGCTAGAAATTGCCAACCCAAGGCAAGAAATGTCAAGCGAGGCCATTCAACTCCCTCCTAACCTGGTCCTCAGTTCTGATTTTCTTGAGCTGGGTATCTTCCAACTTTTCCCCATTCGCAAGTCTCTGCTTGAGATCCTCGATGGCGCGAAGCTTCTTATGCAACCCTCTAAGCTTCTTGTCCTGAGTACTCGGGGTTCCGTCAGGTGTTTGAGGTTCGGCATCTTGGTCCGTCTGACGTTTCTGGGGTGTCGATGGGTCAATCGGGGGAGCAAGACTATCAGCGCCAGTCCTGATTTGAAGCTGATGATGCTCAGAATGGTGTCGGCCGTGGTGGTTTTGATTTTCTCCACCAGTCTTGCTCTTGGATCTGCGATGGCCTTCCCCTTGCTGATTGGTTCTGGACTTGCTCCTGGTATGGTGCTGCTGAGGATTTCTCCCATTACCCTCCCGGCCTTCTCTATCGGTTTGAGGTCCCTGCGAAATTCCGTTTCCGGCAGCATTGGCAGCTTGTTGCTGCAGTTGCTCAGCTTTGGCCTTCTTGGCAGCCTCACGTTTCTTCTTATTTTTCACCGCAGTTCGGCTCGGGTTTTCTTCGTCGGCACCTGCGCCAGTTCCGGCCAAAGAGACGCCGCCACCAGGAGCAGCTCCTGGGACCAGCTTCTCCGCCGGTGCTGCTCCGGGAACTTCTCTCCTTCGGCCCTTTCCAAACAATCCATTTGACCCGCTGCCACTTCCAGTCCCAGAACCATTGGTGTAAATATGAGCCGCTCCGCCTTCATCCTCACGTTTAAAATGAAGGGGGGTCGCCGTATTACGGGCGTGGGGCGGCCTGTAAGCTCCGGCCGGCTTTTTAGGAGTCGTCGTTGCAACGTGGGCTAGAGCTGATTCATGAGGAGTAGGCGCCGGGGGGAGCGGATTAGGCAAAGGATGCATAGGGGCACTCTGGGGGAGCCAAGTCACATGGTACAATTCGTCCAAATCAAGAGTGTACATCAAATCCCCAGTATAATGCCAAATTTTGACCCCGTTGTCCACCCTCAATCTCGGGCTTGTCGTGGCAGTGAGGATATGGCGGCCGTCCGGGCTCCATTTACAGACACTCGCGTTGGATGCTTCGATAGTGCAAATCTTCTTCATCCCGGCTTGCCTATCGTATATGTCCATCGAGCCTTGCAAATTCCCGAACCCTGCAACAAGCACCCATCTAGCATGAGGAGAAAAAATAATCGTGTTTCTCGGGCCGGCCGGCAATTGGTGGCTGAGGTTGGCCCGCGCATCGAAGATTGTGGTCTTTGCGGGCATAAATCCGTACACAACGCCAAACTCCTTCGAATCGGTTGACCAAGCGACATCGTGAATCGGACCTTCCTTATCTATAAGGATAAAGTTTGCTATTAGCCAAGTGTTTGAGAAACCCCAGTGAGCACATACCAAGCGAAACGCGGCAGTCAGAATTCCCAGCCACAGTAACCAAATAAAGATTGGTCTCCCCGTAATAGCTCTTCCCAGTCTGGTCGGCGTCGGTTTGAGAAAATACCAAAACACTGGTGCCCAAGACATTCCACTTGAGTTGTACCCTGTCAGCTTTGTAAAAGCTCCTCTGCGACAGGACGTCATTGAAATTAGGGACCTGAAAGATCTTGACGACCGCCGGATTGCCCTGAAACCAATAAAGGTTAGTGGTGGTCACGGGAAACAGGTGATTTGGGCAAACAAAAAGTCACCTTCAGCTCCGGAACAAATGCTGCCACTGAATAGTTCTCCCCCAGACTCAGCGCAACTTCGGCGACCCCCTCCAGACGAAGATTCTTCCAGACCGCTTTCATGTTCGTAGATTCAAAGAACTGCACAGTATTTGTAACCACGCGCGCACAATACTTTTCGTCATACGTGTACTGGAGGTTCCATCCTGACTGAGATTTCTGCACGAATGCTACAACGTGCTCAGCTGTCTCAGTTCTCCAAATCTTCAAATTCTTCGTAGCGCCACCGTCCTCCTGCTGAGCTGGGAGCGAGTTAGCTCCATCTCTTGATACCCAAGTGGGTTTAACATACTAGGTCGTTCCCATGTGATGATGTAGCTACCACGAGGAGAGAATCCAATTTCTTGAACATTTTGGGCTGGCAGAGCAGTGACGATTTCCCCAGTATTTGGGTTGGCAATCTTCACGCTGGAGAGGCGAAAGTCAGCCACGATCAAAGGCAACAAGGTGAGAACCGTTTCAGTCAGGACAGGGTCATACTCTTCATTACAAGACCAAGCAAAATACCTTCCATCAGGGCTATAGGTGCAGCATCTACTGTTCGTTTCAGGCCTGCAGGACAGGTAAAGTGTCAGGAAGCCGAAGCCAGGAATCGCATGCAGAGATGCGCAAAACGGAAGAACCGTTCATGGGCTTACCTATCGAAGCCGGGTTGGTGCGAGTATTGAGGGTGGCCATTAATCAAGCCGATGGTTTTTTGTGTCCGATCTGCACATCCCCGTCGATCAAATGTCAGTCCCCAAAACACTAGCGCAGAGGAAAGCCTTGTTCAACGACACGGCAGAAAACAAGATGTCCATCCCCAAAGTGCAAATATCCAGCATCTCATCCGCTTCCCCGAATCAACGAGGGCAGCAACTTACAAGCAAACTGTGTAATCATTCCGACGGCAGCCATGATGATCCTCACAAGTGAATGGGAGGATAAACGATGGGTACCGAGTGGGTTGCGACGGTGCTCTGTGTTTTGTTTCAAGGAAGGGAAGAAAACTGGTTCGGTCCCACAGTCGTTTCCTCTGCCTTCGGGTTTCCCGGTATCTTCGAGGACGGTCGGTTGTTGTTGCTGTTGTCGTTGGTTGGTCCGTTGAGCTGGTCCGATTCGGGGGGAAAAATTCTAGCGATAAGCTTGAGGACAGATTCCCACAAAAGGCGGCGGTGAGGGTCAGAATCAAAGGAGTACGAAGCTCGAAAACCTTTAGCCGGAGGGTAGTTAAACACGGCGGATAAAGGAGGCAGAGCGGAGAGAAGAGAACGGGAAGCCAGGTCGCGGGACAAATGAGGATGAGCAGGACGCGCGAACGAGGTGGGGGGGGGGGGAATAGTGGGGATGGTGGGGGAAGGGTGGACAACTGGAACAACAACAACTGGGAAGAGGGAGGAAGAAGGACGACAGGGAAGAAAGAGACGGAAGGGGAAGATGGATGGAGGACGAGGAGGGAAAAGGGAAAGAGAAACCCGGGCTGGGGGGGAGGCGGAGGATGTTGACACTTGAAACGAAGGGGTTGGCAGAGAGTAGGGTAAGTTGGAGGCAACAAGTAAAAAAAAAAAAAAGAAGGGCGAACGAGATAATTCCATCTGCCAGGCTAACCCAATATGGAAATCACAGACCACGCACTCCCAACCACTTTGGAGGCTCCAGGGTAAGCTCGCGTGCGAGACCCGATTCTTGGCGGGAACGAGGAAGGAATCTTGTTGCCTTTCTTGCGCTGTCTCCCACAGACTGATGTCTTTTTTGGGCCTTAGCCAACACAAGCTATGCCTAATCCATCGCTGCCTCACGAAAGCATGGCCCGGAATAGGCGTGAGAGAACACCCGTACTCGAGTAAAATAAAAAGCTCAGCTGACCGATAATATTGTACTCACCCCCATTTATAGCCTCCAACTTTTCGAGTCCATATCGTGCCCAGAATTGTTTGTTCTGTGTCTCCCGTAACTTTGAACTCGGCCAAGCCGTCACCCCGAGCCATAATTCACTTGATTATGTCGACTCACCGGATCAAGGAGCCAGCGGCCTCCGTTGCAAGTTAGTCTAATCAGTGCATGGATTCCTAGGGTCGGCCGTCACCCCAACCGTGGCACTTCAATGGACCACCGTATCCCACCCCAAGCGGCCTCTCCAATTATTCCTACTCCCAGATTATTATAGGTACAGCGCTTTCCGAGCATGATACATCTCGAATTCTCCAACGCCGCCACGAACCGCAATTCCATCGGGTCAGAAAGGGTCCCCGCCACGCCAACATTCAGTGTTTCATCTGTCTGGAAATTACGGCAAGTTACGCGCACGTGTGGCTCGGGAACCGTACGCACGCACACACGACTCGGCATGCGCTCTGGAATTGAAGCTCGATGCTTGCCATTTACCACACAACGGCCGCCTCGTCCTAAAATATCGCACTGCCTGCTTGGACACCGCCGCCGTCAGCTACAATGCCTCAATTACCCTCCCCTGGCGGCCCCGACGACAAGAGGATTGTGTTGATAGCCATCGCCCATGAATCAAATATTCCGAGGCGCTAGTGTTGCTAGCAGCGTTGAGAGGTTTTGAGAAGTGTAATTCTTACAAGCAGGGCTCGCTGGAGCAATTTCTGTGCACGGGTGAGGGTCTGGGACAGGCTTTTGATTTTGGCGAGTGCTCGTAATGCTTAGGCTCTTCTAATGAGAACTGTTACTGCATGCCACCCAAATCAAAGCAAAAGGTCAGATTTTGGTAATACCCAATTCCGGTAGCGTGGGTTGTCCTGCGGATTTGCCCTGCCGGAGGCGCTGGTTGATGCAATATCACTCGTTTGGTGCTTCGATTTCTGGCGAATGGAAGCGGAAGATTGCTTGCTTCGGCGACTTTTCCTTTTTTTTTTTTACCCCGGGCCCAAGGTGTACCTTGTATCACGATAGTGTCTCATACGACGTGAATGTGTTCACGTAGGTGAAGATTCCACCAGCGGAGCTAGAAACTTACCGGTCGATGGGTGTAACTGCAGGAACAAACTGGTATAATACAAATTATGTCGGTTCTCGAGCGCTATGGGATACATACATGGCCTACGGGAGCACTGTCGCTGATTGCGTTGACAGCTTTCGCGACGCGGCTAACTGGGCACTGCTAAGCAGATGATATACAAACCCCTTCCTATATATCATGGTTCTGTCCTTGAATGGGCCAGGAGGATATCTGGGTTACCCAGTAAGGTCGGTGTCCTTTGCCAACAGGTTGAACTTACTATTTCTCCTTGATTGCTAGGTGCGGGTACCCGCCGCCCGCCATATGTGGGGGCCCTGAATATGCGGGAGCTACACAAGCAGATGATAAAGGAGAATTTGCATGCAAAACGCCTGGGCCAGTGAGAACGTTACAGTGAGCCATCGCTGACGGGAGCGAGTGCCGACGTTGGAGGGTTCAGGCAGGACACTGCAAGTGATACAGTGCTGCGGTTCGGAAATCGGAGATCGGGAGTGTCTGCTGTAGTTAACCGGCATTGCTCGAGTTCAATATCCAGGGCAAGGGGGGGGGGAGTGTGGCGAACCTACTGTCATTTGTTTCTGGGCCATTAAGCCCACCAAAGAGTCTATATGGTGAAACTAGCATTCGTAGGGCAGAGGATTCTTCTAAGTTTTTCGCATTTTGGGAGGGGTAGTCACAATAGGTAATTAGTAACCGCACTAGTATCGTACGGGAAGAGGACTTGCAATCTGTTCCCCTAGATAATGGTTGCGCACGCCAAGTTAGGCCAACAACACTCGAGTTCTTTCACTTACAACGTAGGACTTCCCGTAGGTATCTAGAATCCAATCGTTTATATTCCGACTGGCAGACGCCTCAAAAGCTCAGCCTAAAGGCAGACAGCTGCGAGATTTTGAAGCGATCTTGACATAACTCTGCGCTATAATCTAGAGAACCAACCTCCGGATTCTATTTTCTAAAATCTGAGTCACCCCCGGTTCAGATTTGAGAAATTTGTATTCCGTCGGTCAGCTACCGTACAAGTACCCCAAGGTCACCGTTATCGACACACCAAGCTTCATTCCTCCACACACAAAATCCAGAATTGACAAGTTACTGAGGATGCGATCCTATGGAAAAATTATTTCCTATCATACATGTTTTTGTTAGGCTTCGTATGTAATCTCATTTTGACGCAGGGACCGCAATCCGGGAAAGCGGGTGTTCGATAATGTTCAACTGTCATAGGTAATGTCACTGAGCACGGGTATTGGAGGCCACGCCGATGGGCGTATGGCCTGAACGGCGGTGCATCGGGGTAAGCCACCAATCCTCCTCGCCGATTCCGTAGTGCATGGGGGGCTTGCTACCCGCACAACCAGCAGCAAGCCGAGGGGGGAACTAGGACATGAACAACCTCCCCCTCCCAAAAAAAAAAAATATAAAAAAAAATACCAAAGGGCTCACGGTGTGCTCATCGCGCAAAGTCGGGTTTGGGATCGCTGAGCCTGAGAGTCCCGTTCTCGAAACCGATCCTCCGGGTCGTATGATATTATACCGGGTGGAATTAAATCACCCCAATCACCAAGGAACCGCTAAGGGCTGGTCCGCTGCTTCTGGGGGTTGGGGTTAGCACCGGAAATGGAGAGCGGGATGGCATGTAACAACTCAAACAATGGTACTCCACTCTTTACTGTTCAACACGTTCTAGAGCTGTAAGAAAAAGTCGATTGGATGCTCCAAAATTCTTTCAATTGTCCCTTCGAGTGTCCACAGGTTGTTAAAGAATTGTTGGTTAACTTAGGGCACTTTGATATACGACTTTGTAAAATTAATGGTTGCGTGGACGTCAAGCCAGCCATTTCCCGATATATATAGGCTCCGCTGAAAAGACGATCCAGGACCAGGGTACAGAGAATGGCTCTCTTGACGATTCTTTAGCTAGTGTGAGCGCAGGGGTCTAGATTAGAGGGCGGGAAGCGAAATCCAGGGGGTTATTTTACATAGATAAAAGGTGTGGTTTGGGCTGCTTTACTCGTACCGGAGTAGCAGTTAAGCGGCGAGGAGGTCGCGAACATCAGTATTCCGGTGGACAACCCTTACGCTGCTCATCCCTTTCTTGATTGCACAGCCAGACGCCGGGGAGACCACTGCCGGGATTTTCAGGATCACCAGATGGAGTTATTCAAGTTTACACGATTTGTCTGTAAGGCTGGATCTAAAGGCTTTCTAACGTGATTCAAATGCCCGGACACTGCAAAGATGTCCTAACGACTTGACACATCTGATGATAACATCGTGGTTTGGGCAGGGGACGGTAGCTGGGCGGAAGGATGAGGGTATGGCCAGATTGCTGTTGCAGAGGAACTTCAAAGCCTATATTTATGGGGGGGGGACAGAAGCCCCTCTCTGTGTCCCCGCTGTGCTGTAGGGCTGGCGCCTGAGGCTTTAGAGGTATAAAGAGTAAGGGAACTGCACTGCGGATACTGGGAGACCGTCATGACTCACTGTCGATTTTACTGTGTAAGTTAGTGTTGTGGATAGTGCTTGATGGCGGGGTAAGTTTGCTGATTTGCATGGGGATACAGGAGGTAGGCAGCATGGTAATGGTGGTCTACAGATGATAGGGGTCGGAGCTAACTGTGGGATTGCGGGGTGCTATAGTTTGTATTGTACATATGATAACTTTATTGGGGTGGGGTGGGGGGTTAGGGCCGTTGACCCTTTTCTTGGTAGGTGTTGTGCTTTAGGAGGTAATTAAACTAGAGTAACTAAATTTTTCTGTGACGAGGTGGTTCCTGACATTTTTCTCGCTGGGTGTGCGCAAGATGTATGCGGATGGTGCCAGAAACGGTTATAGGACGAGAAAATTGCTGACTTTGTCTCGCTGAGCGCTGCAGTGGGCGAGTGAGCAGGGTTAACCGCGGTTCGGGGAGATCAAAGCTGACCTCTAGTCCACTGAGCGTCATAGGAGGTGAGTGTATATGATTAGCCAAGGCTAGGGGACTAATCGCGGTTCTGGGGCGAGACGATTGCTGATGACTAGTTTATTGAGCCTCTCAGGCTATAAGCTGACCTACAATCTCCCCGTGGTTTCTTGTTTCTACTTGATTGATCTATCTCCCCTACTGGGATACATTGTATGTGATCGGCAACTGTCTTGGTCCCTGTTCATGCCGTTGGTTCTAGACTGACTTCACATTCTCTAATTCAAAACAATCTTAACTATTCTCTGTTACCGCTTCTCCGTCCAAAGCGATCGCATATTGCTACATTTTCTGTTGCCTGGAATGTGCTACATGTGCTAAGTGACTGGTAGATTTCATTCCTGTGCTAGGAATGAAGCTGCGGGCTTGCACTCTCTGGTTAGGGATGAGTGGCTTGTGAACGAAGGCTGGTATTGAATGATGGCTGCGCTGAACTTGGATGTTTGTGTATATAGTTTTTGTTTTGCTGTTATTATTCGATCACCGAACACGGGATTGAAT